TTATAAAGGCTAAAAATAAAACCAGTCCCTGCTCTCAGGGAGCTCCCAGTCTAATGAGGGAAGACAACTATGGACAAATTAGATCTAGCCAGGATAAATCAGAGATAATCAACGATGAAAAGCTTCTTGTGTTAAGGGGGCCTAGGAAAGCCTTCAGGGAGAAGAAGAAGCCAGGGGAAGAAGGGACAGAATTTGGGGCTTGGAGGACACCTAGTGAAAACGCCTAGATTGAGAGACTTAATGTCTCGTTCAGATGTGGTAGGACCAGGAGGTCTCTGAGGCCTTTTCCAATCCCAAGCCTACAAACTCCAAAAATTTGGAGCTGTCTTTGGCACAGCAACAACAAGGTGTGAGCTTGTCTTAGAGAGGTTTGCCTGTGCTCATTTACATCCTCCCAGTAGAATATAAGCTTCTCGAGGGCAGGAAATGCAGTTTGTCTTTAATGCCCACAGTACCTGACACACAGTAGACATTTAATCAATGTTTGTTGGACTGGATAGACTGAAGTGCATTTTGGAAGCTAGGTGGACCATCAGACCTGGAGTCAGGAAGACCTGAGTTCAAAACCAGTCTCAAGATACTTACTAGCTGTGTGATCCTGGGCAAGTCACTTCACCCGGTTTGCCTCAGTTTCCTCATCTGTAAATTGAGTTGGAAAAGGAAATGGCAAACCACTCCAGTGTCTTTGCCAAGAAAACCCCAAATGGGGTCACGGAGACGTGACTGAACAACCATAACAACAAAGTGCATTTTACTGTCTCAGGCAGAATTTCGCTTCCCCCTTCCTGCCTTCTTTTGCTCTCCAGTGAAACACAGATGTGAGAGTTGGGAAACGCTTGAAGACCTTGTGGAAGTCCCTTCTTCCCAACTAAGACTGTCCTTGGAATCTTCGCACTATTTATTTCTAGATCAGCTCCTCTGCCAAATATTTGTAGAGTTTTTCTCATTTCCCCCCATTCACCCCACCTCCTGCCATGTCTGCCACTGATTTTTAGATAAACTCCAAATTAAAAATGCATACAAGCTAGGACGATACTAAGTAATAATTTATTTGAATAATAGTTGTCATTTTGCAAGATGTTTTATACTCATTATCTCACACTTAATCCTCACAATAACACTGTGAGATTGAGTCTATATAATGCTCATTTGACAGATGAAGAAACCGAGGCTCAGAAAGCTAGAGCAGCTTTGTCTGGATCACCCAGGTAGTCAAGAGAAGGGGGAGGTAGGAATTCACCTTTGAGCCCAACTGCACGTCCACCTTGCTGTACTGCAAGAAGACAAGAGAATACGAGCAAATGCCCTTTTTTCATTCCCGGAACCAGCATTTCTGAAGAAAGCCTGGTGTCAGACACTGAGCAATCTCTGCACGGAATGTGTGTTTTGATTAAAAGTTATTGAATATCACTCGTTGCTTGGAGTTCTGCCTAGAGATATTCTTAGCTGCAGGTCCTGTGCTTTCTTGGACTAGAGATAGAAAAACTGGCTTGGAATCCAGACTGGTGTTCCCAAAATAGTTCCTTGCTTGTATAGATTGGCGTTTATGCCAACAGAATGAAGGCAGAGATTGATAGAGAGATGTGAAGACAGAGGTGATTTTGCCAGAGCACGAGCTCTCTGTTGGCCTGTTCCTGCATCAGTATCCTTGTATCCTTACTTATATACCAGAAAATAGTATATAGAATGATGAGCATGTTTCCTTTATTTAAGAAAAAAAGGCCCTCACAGTACTCTGCGAAATGGGAAGTGTGGGGAGAGAAAAGGCTTAAGCCAGTGGGTTTGGTGATCATTCTGGGGTTTGATAAGTAGGCCAATCCACTGAGTACCATAATGTGAAGGGGGGAAAAGGACAAACCTTTCAGAAGACACCAATAGATGTTTGAATCAATAAGCTATTTTAGTTTTGAGGAAGCTATGTTACTCAGGACGAGCCTTCGGTCACCTTTTCCTACAGAGAAAAATTCTCCAGGGTTTGACATTGAGTCACCTGTCCCAAAACATTTCTTACACTTAAATTTTTGTGAAACAGAAATTAAAAAAAAAAGTCATTCCCCCAAAGACTTGGCCTGGTGTGCAAACATTGTGCGGAGATTCTAAGTAGATTGCATTCTCTCTGTCCCCAAGGTCTTGTCTCTGTCGGTCATCTGGAGAGGACTGAGTGTGTGTTCAGGGATACAAGTGTTCCAAGGGTTGCCTTGGCAACTGGTCCATCACTGATTTCTAGTCCTCACATGTAGCAGCATCACGTTCGATCACAGCGCTGTCTCGGCTCCACCTTAGGGAGGCGAATTACGCCACCGAGACCGTTTTCCTTTGTGAGTGCCATTGACGTGCCTTCACCGGGCTCCTGGGAAGGCCAATTAGAGAGAGCCACACGGCAGAACTGGGCACATTCCTGATCATTTCCCTTCAACGCAGACACAGAGACTTTGTCGTAAAGCCTCAGACCTTCCACAATACATTCTTCTTTTATTTGATGATCTGGTTGAACCACAACCAGCAGAGGCCTGGCTAGCTGATATAAATAGAGCCTGGGGCCATAGAAAATCTCAGAGACTAATGAGTGATTAGTGGAAAGTGCTTTGGGCTGTGTTCCAGGAAATGTTGATGCTGTTGGGCAGAAAAATTGATGACCAAATGTCTGAATCATAAGGTGCTATTTGATAAATGCAAGGGCCCAAAGAACATGCCTTCCCCTGGGCTTTTTGGCCTCACTCCATCCTTTGCTGATTTCTAGTGACCTTGAAGCTTCTGTCTACTATCACAGACCACCCATATTTCAGCCTCACTTTCAAGGACATCCCAACCCATGCAGGCTAATAGTTTCATTAAGATCAGAATTCTTTTAATATAAACAGGATCTTTTTCTGTATGTTTGCTATGAATTGATGCAATTTTCCTTTGCTATTAAGTTAGAGGCAGATATCATATATTATATTTAATGCAAGGACCCCCTAAGTTACTTATTCCTGTGTGAATACTTTGAAGAATTTTATGCCCTGCTACATCAATTCAGTAATTCAACATTTATTAAGCACCTCCTCTGTGCCAGGCATCATCCTAGGAGCTGAGGATGCACAGACAAAAATCTGAACAGTGCCTACCTTCAACGAGTTTACATTCTACTGGGAGATAGGACGTATACACCTCCGAGTAAATACCAAGTGATTTCAAGAGGAAAGGTGGTGGGGTGTGGAGGGAGGGAGTGTCCAAATGTGTTTGTCTCCACTGACTTGGAGAGATGATACTGCCTAACTGAAAAGAACAGGACTTGGATTCCTATGTGTGATTCTATTTGCTACATAAGTAATAATAATGATGGCATTGACGCATCGGTTTAAGGTTGGCAGAGTGCTTTACATACTCTGTCTCATCTAATCCTCATAAAACACTGTTAGGTAGGGGCTGCTGCTGTTATCCCTATTTCATATGGGGAAACAGATTGAGAGAAGTTTAAATGGCTTGCCCAGGGACACAGTATCTCAGATGGGATTCAAACTCGGATCTTTCTGACTCCTTAGTTCAGCACACTGTCCATTCAAGCACACTATCCCTTGGAAACAGACTGATCTGTCAGAAAATCAGAAGCAGATAAAGCAGAGATAAGCTGTTTATTGTGAGCTTAACCCCTTGCTATTTGTGCCCCTCAGGGCTAATTTTGGGAGAAGAACCAAAGCCTTCCTGTTATCTCTTCTGCCTCTGTGACTTTGAAAGGCCCCCATTCATCAGTAACCTTTTTCATGGGTAGCTTGTGAATGTAGTCACAGTTAGAATACCTAGGAGTAGTTCTCTACCAAGATGGTGATTTATTATGAGAAGGAAAAAGAGAGAGAGAGGGAGGAAAGAAGGAAGGTAGGTAGGAAGGGAAGAGAGGGAGGGAGGATGAGAGCAAGGAAGGAAGGAAAGAAGGAAGGAGGGAGAGAGGGAGGAAGGAAGGAAGGAAGAAAGAAAGAAAGAAAGGAAGGAAGTTCTATATTAGGATTGTTGGCCAGTTCTTACAGTTTTTTCATACCCAATGCTTTTTTAGCAAGAGCAAGGCTCTTTTATTAATAAAGGTAGCTTGCATTATACACTTAATAAATGAACATAGGTGGCATTTCTATAGTGTTTTACAATTTGCAAAGTGCGTCCCATACAATGTATCATTTGAGCTCACAGCACCCTGGTGAGGTAGGTTTATTGTACAGATGAGGAAACAGAGCTTAACTCACCTGCCCATGGTTACACAGCTGGTGACAGGCAGGATTTGAATGCAAGTCTGTCTGGTCACAAAACAACATGCTGCCTTCTGTCTTACCCATCAACCTGTCTCCTGGCTACTTGTACTTCAACTAGTATTTCCTTTGTCCTGCATACAGTTAGGAATCAGCTCTCCTACAACTTTTGTTGAATTTTTTTCATTTATAAAAGATGTATACTCTCCCTCTGTGTGTATCTGGGGGGAGTGTTGTAAATCTTTCTGTTTGCTTCCTGTCACCAGAGAGAGCAGATATTTTCAGTAACATTCCAGGCTGCTTGCTTTACCCAATTGGTAGATTCCATTTCATATTTATGTTTCAGCTGGTGGACATTAATGGGAGTTTGGGTGTTATTGCTGTGCAAGGTTCTGTTTTGTGGGGCAGAGGTTATGATGAAACTGTTTCTTATGAACAGAAATAGTTTAGCATGTTCTGATGTTATGGCTAAGTCCAAATCACTCTTTGTTGTATAGCGCACTATTCTAAGCCTGTTGATGTCTGTAGGCTCTCCAGGGCAGTATGGAAGAGAGGCCTTGGGCTTTTGTGGCAGTGGAATATGGAGGGCTTATGATGATTGTGTGTTTGCATGACTCCAAGAAGTCTCTTCCCCCTGCCACATTCTCTTTCCTTTAAAAAAAAAAAAACTCTCATTCATGTAGCATGAGGTGTGTGGAAAGAATACATGAAACTCCAGTGGAGTGATCGAAATGCTCCGAGGAAGCAAATATCATTGGCATTTCTTTTGTGGTTTCCTTGCAGGTCTGATGTTGTGGTGCTCTGTTTTTCGATTGCTAATCCCAACTCCCTAAATCATGTGAAAACCATGTGGTACCAAGAGATCAAGCATTTCTGCCCTCGCACCCCGGTCATTCTTGTCGGCTGCCAGCTAGACCTCCGCTATGCTGATCTCGAAGCCGTCAATCGAGCCCGACGCCCATTAGCCAGGTAAGGGCTGGTATGCCCAGCAGCCAAGGCTTCCTAGCCTTCTTTGAAGAATACGGTGGGACTGACCTCTCCTCATTAGCTAGGTACAGGCTTTAAGTTGGGCTTCTAGTAGTGGTAAGGAGAGTGTTCAGCAGATCACCCAAACTCCTGCTATTTCTCTTGTGACAGTGGCACACATATCATCATCATCATCATCATCATCATCATCATCACTGTTATTATAGCTAGCATTTTTATATAGTAGCTGCTGTGTGCCAGGCACTGTGATGAGTGCTCATTCGATCTTCAACCCTAAGAGGTAGATGCCATTATTACCCCCATTTTACAGATGGGAAAGCTGAGGCAAACAGGTTAAATGACTTGCTCAGAGACACAAGCTAGTAAGTGACTAAAATGAGACTTGAATTCAGGTCTTCCTGACTCTAGACTTGGTGCTCTATCCATTGCGCCACCTAGTGGCCTTTTTACAAGGTGGCTTGCCAGGCGAGCTCATGCAATGGCACATAAGATTGATTTTGTTTTTCTCTTATAGAAACGTAATGGGATCCCCTGGAGGACCCTGAGACCTTGGCCTTCTTAGCACAATGATGTAACTGACCAACCAATCCCAGAAATCTATATATCAAAGACACTTCAAGATGCCTTGTTAGAAATGCCTGATTTTCCTGGACATGGTTACTGGCAGTAATTAGCTGTCAGGCTAATATTGCCTGGCCTTGACCTTAAACTTCTTTCTATAATCGTGGAGGGGAGGAAGGGGAATGCTGACTAAAAAGTATTTTAGGAGCTATTTATGAAAATGCTACAAAATGAAATTTTATTATGAGATTTTTTTTGCCTTTTGGCTATAAATATGATAATATCCCAAATGTCTTGGAAATGGCCTTTGTTTTATTAATATTTAAAATTGTGAAAGGGGAAAGAGAAAAAAGCAAAAAAGAGTGAAAAGAGGGTCATTCAAGTATTTTTTAATGCCCAGAAGAGCCTGCAGGCCAAAAGGGAATACAGATGACCAGGATATCTTTGAAAGTTACACGCTGAATTTATTCTATATTTTAAAAGAAAAGCAAGCCATACAAAATTGAGATTAACACTGTCATAGACAATCCTCTTAGTCTGTTCTACAATGAACACATAAGTTTTCATTTTATTTGGTATTTATGAAGTTCAGAATAAAGTAAAAAAATTTTCCAAAAGAAAATTTTTTCATAATTTCTAGAAAAACAGCTTCACATTTTTCCAAGGCAAGGACTGTCAGTTTTTCAAAGGACAGTATTAAAGATGAATCAGATCTTTTCTCTGCCCTTCAGGATCTTTGTAAACTTTTGTTGTTGTGTTTTTGCAGCTATAAGTCTAGTAATCCCAACTGTCAACTGAAGACTCTAGCTTCATCAGACATGAGTGGAAATTTATTTATTAAGTTTTTTTTTTCCTTTTTAGAAACTTTTTGGGTGAAATTGATTCAAGCGAACATACACAGACAACACACCGCATACACATACGTGCACACATACACTGCTCCTTGCCTCTATATGGTTTCACACATCTTTTCTTCTAAGCTTGACTGTATAAAAAACACCAAAATGCCTCAATGATAAATTGAATTATGATCTTATAGCTATGAATAATTTTCATTTGACATTTGTAAAATGTGCCAAAATGTATGTAAAATATTACATTTATCAGTTGTACACGCTTCTGATGAGAAAGGCAAAATATCACCAGATCATGCAACGTAGAGCTGGAGGGAACAGGCTGGTCCACATTTAAGGCTTCTCTTATGAGCTGATCAACAATCATGAAGCGTGTCTTCATAGTCAGCAGTCAACGAGCCTTTGTCAAGTGCCTGCAACGCGCCAGGCACTGGGCTAAGTACTGGAGACTGAAGGAGAATCAAAGACATGGTCTCTGACCTCAAGGAGCTCAAGTCTAATGGGGAATACACAGAAAGACTGATAAAAATCTTGGTAATCTGCTCGTGTCTTTGATAGCTCTCAGAAACACAACCATGGCAACAAATAATGTTTTCAATAATAATTCTGATGCTCTACATTCTGATGTTTTATGCCCTTGAAAGTCCATTGATGTGGATGATCTCATCTGGTTCTCACCACAGCTTGTTGTTTGTCCATTGTTCTCAAAGAAGACCATGACATCAGGAAGGTGCTGTCATGACATGCAAGTGAATTGGATTTCAGTGAGGCAGGGTTGTGCAAAGTCACCAGCCTCGCTCTCTCCTCCAGAGCCGTCCAGGTCCGATGGCAAGATATAGATCAGGTTGACTAGCAATGGCCTGGGATAGAGTGGGAAACTGAATAAAAGAACAATCTGCCCAAGAATGGCCAACCTTCGTCAGACCACATCTGGAGTTTTGTGGTTAGAGAGGACATAGGCAAGCTGGGGAGAATTCACAAATTCACAAGAGGGCACTGAGGCTAGTGAATAGCCCCCACATCATGAGCATCCATTGAAGGAACTAGGGATGTTACCCTGAAGAACAAAAGACTCAGACTGAGGTCTTTAGGTAGTTGGAAAGATGTCAGGTGGAGAAGGGCTTAGCTTTGTTCTGTTACGTCTCAAGGAGCAGAAGTAGAACAGTGTTTGAAAGTGCTGAGAGGCAGTTGAGACTTCCTCCTAGTGAGAGCTCTCCCAAAGTGCAATAGGCCACCTTGGAAAGGGACAAGTTCTCTCTAATATGAGGCCTTTAAGGAGAAGCTGGATAGATATTTGTTGAGTGTGTTGACATGGGTCTTACTTCCTGATATGAGCTGGGCCAGATGGCCACGAGAGCCCCCATCCGATTCTATGATTGTATCATCCTTTGTTTATTCTCAAATTGTGATATACATAATGATGACAATTTAAATGGAAAGACCAAATATCACAAAACAATCAAAAGTAAATGTTGCCAAATTGCAAAGTGTAGCTATGGCCCCAGGAAGAGATATAAGGAGGTGGTCCCAACCCACCCCTTTGCAGAGGTGGGAGATGGGGGAGGGGCAGATGTAGGGGAAGGTGTGAATTATTGCATGTCTTTTTCACTTTTTTGATCAGTTTTGACCATTATTTTCTCTTCCTCTTCTTTAAAAAAAATTCTTTGTTATTTGAGATGGCTTTCTGGGAAGAGGAGGGGGAGAAATTTAAGTGATGTGAAAACAAACTATATCAATAATTTTTTTTAATTGCACGAAAAAACTTTGGACCTGGGAGATTAAATAATTTGTGTACAGGAGGCGATGTGGCATTGTGGGAGAAAAAGCTATGGGCACGGCATTAGAGAACCTGGATTCAAGTCTCGGCTCTGCTACTTACTATGTGACCTTGGGTAACTCCATCACCTTTCCGAGTCTCAATCTCCTTTTCCAGAAAATAGGAATAATACTACTTATCCTACTTGTCCCATAGAATTTTTATAAAGGTCAGACAAAATAGGGTATGAAAAAGTTGTCTTTAAGCTATAAAGCACAGCAGTCACAGAGTCCCCAAATTTGGGAGAAAGAACAGACCCCAGCAGCCATCTGGTCCAACCCTCACAAAGAAAGGACTCACTAGTGTAAAGGGCTATACAACTTTCACAGCCTCAGAGTGCATTAAGGCTTTTTTAGACACCTCATACATATGTGTAGTATGTTTGTGTGTGTGTGTGTGTGTGTGTGTGTGTAGCACAGTTTTACTTGTGTTCAGGTATCATAGACATAAATCAACAAATATTTATTGAAAATGCACTGGATGTAACAAGTAATGTAATGTCCTTATTGCAAGCAAATTATGCTGTAATTGGGGAATCAAGGTATAAATACTTAGGTTCCCTCTTTGGCCCTTCCCAAACAGGGGCCACCTAAAACCTATCCAGGCTGCTTGACTACTTATGTAGCTTCAATGAGATGGAGTCAACAGCGGTATTCCAATCCTGAGATGGAGGATCGCCAGGCCTTAGTGTGTGTTTACTCTGCACTGCAGAAGCCCTGGCATCTGACGTAATGATAGAGTCTAAGAATCCAGGGCCTTCCCTCCTGCACTGTCAGGATGCCAAGGCCTGTCCATCTGCCCTGTCCATGAGCTTCCTTTTATGTATTGTCTCTCCTAATTAAAGTGTGAGCTTCTTGAAAGCAAAGATTAGCTGGCTTCTTTCTGTTTGTATCCCCAGAGCTTAGCACATTGCTTGGCACATAGGCAGGACTTAATGAATACTTTTTTTGCTCATTCCTTGATGTAACATTAAATAGTAAAGCCAGCAGGGTTACTGGATGGTGTAGGTGTGCCCCAGCTGATCACTTGAAAATAGGCTACTAGGTAAAATGATGTTATAGGGGGCAGTTAGTGCCGAGGTAGATAGGAGATATATTCCCTAACTCTCTCTTTTTGTTTGCATTTATGTCCCCAGAGAAGAGGACACATAGTAAAACTTTTAATACAACCAGGTCCTGAATAGTGTGAATAATGAATCTCATGAAGGATTCATGACCCCATGAAGGGGTCACTTTATTCGAATTCACTATTCAAAGTTAAAATTATATGTAAAATCTAATAATTGCTTCCAGCCCAATGGAAATATGCAATAAGAATTCAAATAATAAGACCATTTCACAGGCTCCAATGTATACGCTAACCGGACCCTGGTTGTAAATTCCTGTTGACTTCATTTGCTAATTTGATCAAAATTCAGACTATGTAATGACTTAAAAATTATCTTTCCAGGGCTATATGGGGGAAAAAATGGCTCCATCACTGCACAGCATAATACTTGGGTTGCCCTGGTTACTTTTTTCTGTTTTTAGAATGAGGTTACTTACACCATTTCAATTTTCTGTTTCAGGCCTATAAAGCGAGGAGACATTTTGCCACCAGAGAGAGGCCGAGAAGTTGCCAAGGAGCTTGGAATCCCATATTATGAAACAAGTGTGTTTGACCAGTTCGGTATCAAGGACGTGTTCGACAACGCAATCCGAGCGGCGCTGATTTCCCGAAGACACCTGCAGTTCTGGAAATCCCACTTGAAGAAGGTCCAGAAACCTTTACTTCAGGCACCATTTCTACCTCCAAAAGCACCTCCACCAGTTATCAAAATCCCAGAGTGTCCCACCACGGGTATGAACGAAGCTGCCTATTTATTGGACAATCCGCTGTGTGCCGACGTTATGTTTGTCCTTAAGGATGAGAAGCATATTTTTGCACACAAGATTTACCTTGCTACCTCCTCTTCCAAATTTTATGATCTTTTTTTAATGGAATGTGAAGAGTCTCCCAGTTTTGTTGAAGGCACTTGTCAAAAAGAAAAGCCCAGTTGGGACTTTCCAACAAGGACTTTGAGTCTTGATACTGATGAAGAAAGTGTGGAGGCCGCCTCAGTCCCATTAGCTTCTGAAGGCCGGACATCCCAAAGTGAGGGTGTGCTGAAAGAGCCAGAATTGGGAGCTGGGGACCACCCTCCAACCACCAGAGACTTGTCCACATGGAGCAAAGGGTTCATTGACATGCACAAAGAAATGCTAGTCAACCCTATTTCAAATAGAGTAGGTTCTGTGACCGTGGTCAGAATGGACTCTTCCCTTCAGTTGGGTCCTTTTAGGACCCTGCTTCAGTTTCTTTATACAGGGCAATTAGATGAAAAGGAAAAGGATCTGATGAGACTGGCTCAGATTGCAGAGATCCTAGAGGTATTTGATTTGCGAATGATGGTGGAAAATATAATGAACAAAGAGGCCTTCATGAATCAGGAGATCACTAAGGCATTCCATGTCAGGAAAGCCAACCGGATAAAGGAATGCCTTAGCAAGGGGACATTTTCAGGTGAGTGGGTCCAACGATAATCCAGGTAGTTGTCTCGTGGGCTTCTTTTATGTTTTTTAGAAATAGTGGCTTAGACAAGAAGGAAATGAGAAAATAGGTTCCTTTGTGGCAGGCATGTGTGTTAATCACAGCCATTATTCAAAATTCACCCCCAAAAAGCCTTCTGTGAAGCTTTCTTTCTCTACTTCACCTATCCCTCTTTCCTCTCACTACTTATATTCACCAGGAATGGAAAACCCAGCAGTGCTAGTACCATTGAGGTGGCACTGAACAAAGCTGTTGGTGTCACTCTACCACTCCCTATTTTACGTCCCTCACTCCTTCATTCCATTTTAGCTCTCCTTTCCCTTCTCTTCCTGGCCCAACTTTCTCACTTTCCTCTTCTCACTTTTTTTTTTCTCCCCTACTTATGCCTTAGACCCACCATTGGTACCACGGTTCCTGGAGGTATCGCCTAACCCTTCTGGTGGTGCTCAATGATTTGTTGGTCCCTGGAGGATACCGTATTTTGTATTTTTTACTTCATTGTTGTTTTCGTACTGTTTTTTTACACATAGATTTTAGCACCTGCCCTTTTAGGACAGGGGTCAGAGTTCCTTATTTTATGACTTCCTTCACCACCTCTCTTTGTGATATAGATCAGGAAGTGTTTATTGGATGAATTTTACTTTTGACAACCAGAGTGGACCATAGCCTCACAAGTTAACATGGGCCAATAGCCTTAAAGAAAAAAATAAAACACTCAGTGGAAATAAATCAAATATATTGAACTTGTCCCCTTGTTTTCTGTTCACAGTTTTGGTTCTGATGGAAATCTGTATTCATAGGCAAAGCTCAGTTATATTTTTAAGCATTGATCACTTGGCCCTCCTAGCATGTTTGTCTTTAAAAAGTGACAGAATATAATGGGCCCAGGTGAGAGGGAACTTGGAATAGAATCGGTAAATATGGCAGACAACCTGGAGTGGCTGTTCAAGGGCTGGATTTGGAATTAGAAGACTGCAAATCCTGGCTTTGCCACTTCCTCCCTCTGTGACCTAAGGCAATACCTTACCCTCTTGGGTCTCAGTTTCCTTATCTACAAAATGAGGGGATTTGTCTAGAGGACCCTGAAGGTCTTTCTCAGCTCTAAACCTCTGAATATATGATCCTACAGTAGGGATAGCAAAGCCATCACAGGTTGGGAAACCTCTTGTTTAAGCTATCCATCAATAAGGTGGACTTAGGACTCTATTTCTTCATTCCCGAAGCAGATGTGACGTTTAAATTGGATGATGGGGTGATAAATGCCCACAAACCACTGCTTATCTGTAGCTGTGATTGGATGGCCGCCATGTTTGGAGGATCATTTGTGGAAAGCGCCAACAGTGAGGTACATATCTATTATAAAAGAAAAAATTGTATTATAATTTCTTTACAAGTTATAGGAGAATGAGAGGACTGAACACCATGCCATACGAGGATTGGTAAAAGAAACTGAGAAAAAACTTGGTGTAGGGTGATGGGGAGGATACTTCCTTTATTTTGAGTTTGAAAGGCTATCATGTGGAAGAGGGATTAAACTTTGGCACTTCACAAATGTTTATTGACCTGACAACTTGACTTGAAATAGAACCCCCCCCCCAAAAAAAATAACAACCCTTTTCAAAGTGAGGAGAAACCAGTCACTTGTGCATAGGGCTCTTTGACTAAGCTGAGAGGAGGAGAGGCAGAAGGGAAGGACATTAGATAGCCTCTAAGATTCTGGCCAGCTCTGAACCCTGAATATGTGAACAGTTTAGTTTATGCCAAAACAAGAAAGCAGCACACAAAACAGAAAGTGTTCTGGTGCTTCCGTTACTGAAAAGTCTGGGCCTGCCAGTTGAGTCAGTGGCCAGCCTTCAGAGGCTGCCAGGGAGACTAAGCAGGGGCCCAAGATGGTCAAGGTCAAGCACGGAGTTAGGAAGGAATGCCGTCAGAGCTGACTTCACAAATGCTAATCCTTTTTATCCCTCTCAGAACTGACAGAGATAGTCCTCAGATTAAGATGATACAAGATAGGACCAAAACAAACATTTAACCAAGGAGATAGAGCCCAGTTGTATGTGTTTGTTGACTAATTAGTGTTTTCTTCCCCCCAAATAATAATAACAACAACAATAATAATAATAACTGACATTTATAATGTGCTTTAACCTTTGCAAAAATATCCGTTTTCTTATTTGAGCCCCATAATAATTCTGTGAAGTAGGTCTTATGCACAGTATTATCCCCGTTTCATAGATGGGGAAACTGAAGCATGGAGTAGTTAAGTGGCCTGCTTCTGGTCATCCAACTACCTTACTATCACAGGTAAGATTCAAGCTCAGGGTTTTCTTGAACCTTCTTGCAGAGACTACCCCATGAAAAGACAAAACCTCCAAACCCCTACAACTAGCACACCATTATATATTCACCTTATCACCATGAAGGCAAGGCAGGTTGAATCATGTGTGTTCAGTGACTGTAGTGCATTTACTTTGCTTACTTCAGTGGTTTCTAAACTTTATGTAGCAGGGCTTCCCCCCATATCAAAAAATTGTACCTCTTCCCCCCCATACATCCATGTGCCCACACACTTTTTATAACCCAGTCTGTGCTGGTGATGAAGAAAACACACACACACACACTCAAATTTGACCTCCCATGTCATCACTGTCAGTCACTTTTGTTGACTTTTGATTAGAACTTTGTTTTCTTATGAAAAAAGTAGATCACTTATGTGGGGGTTGGGTCAGGCAATATGTAACAACTTTGGCCATTGCTTTGTTCTGCCTCTCTCCTTCCCCTAGGGTCGCGTGCCCTCTAAGGGTTCTTGCTTCACAATTTGGAAAATTCTGGGTTATTAAGAATGTCCACATTCCATTTTTCTCTCTTACTTTCTGGATCTCCTTCTTCACTCTTCCTTCCTGCTTCCCCTGTAGTGGTCCCATTGACTCCGTCCCCTGGGCAAAGTTTAAAGTTGTGAAGGCTGTAGTGTAGAGGGGCTGAATAAGGAGAATCTTCCAAGTCACATCCTTCTCGCAACATCTTGCTTCCGAAGAATTATAACTCTTTGCTAGTGACATAATAATTTCCTTAGCAAACCTCAGAGAATCAGTAAAGGAACTAATTCAAACAATCCATAGATTCAGTCCACCCAAAAAATTATTATTATTATTATTGTTGTTGTTGTTATTGTTATAGTCACCTCATTTTCATTTCGTGTATACTTCTATATCTATGTACAAACTGTGCCCTTCTGTGGAATGATGTTCTTTGAGAGTAAGAGATTGTTTTACTTCTGTTTTTATATTCTGTACACCTGGCACATAGGAGATCCTTAGTAAATATTTATTGATTGATTGATTGATTGATTGAGTCAGCTGAGTAGCAAAATACAAAATAAATCCACAAAAAAAATCATGAGTGTTTTTACACAGAACTAACAAAAAAATAGGAGTAAGTGATAATATGAGAAATTCCATTCAAAATAATTGCGAAATGAACAAAACATCAAGGACAAAAGACACTCAGGACTCAGACAAAGCTACCAAAGACACTTCATTGAAAGAGAGGAAGACATAAATGGAGATCTACTTAGTGTTCATTGTTGGGTCAATGGCAACTTAGTGAAAATGGCGACCCTAGATAATTGACAGATTTAGTGTTATACCAACTAAACTACCCCAGGAAATATTTGCTAGGACTAGATTGCATAGTGAGAATCAGAGCCTTCACTTAATGGAAAGGAGCAGGTATATGTGTTAAAGGTGAGGCTTCTATTTTCAGAGGAGGGGAAGGCAGGGCAGAGCAGTCACTGAAGGACTCCTTGATTGATTGAGGGTAGTGAGTCAACCTGTGGACTTACCCTTCATCCCAGATCATTTTTATTTCAGAATTTCCTGGTGAGGCTACAGTTTTTACAAACAATTAAAAGTCTATTTTTCCATAGCATTGTTACAAATGATATTGGGCTAACCTAATACTAAATGGGAAAACAATGTCCTTGTTGGTATGCTTTTAATATTTTTTTTAATTGTTTAATACCTTGGAAGATGCTGTATTTCACTTATATTTTTCTCATTACTTTTAATGTAGCAGTAAGCATAATTCTCTCCCCAGAAGCACTCAGCACGGGATTCATTAAAAATACATACCCAGATTGTAGTAAGCAATGCTCTGGAGGGGAATGCTTGCTCACTCACGTGAGACCATTTTGGATTATGAGCCTAATAGTCTGAGTTGATCTTTGCAATTAAAATGATAAAACAACAGAACTTGAATATGCAAAATATGGTACAGTCTTGACATGTGATATATAGTCTTCTTTTCTCCCTTTTTGTGGTCTTAAAATTTTAGTGCCTTTAATGATTGTCCCTGTGACCTTTCTCTTATTAAAAAAAAAAAAAAGACAGGGAACACACAGCTTATGTGACATTGTGCACCCACAGTCCCCCCACCACACCGGGGAAAGGAGACAGGTGTATCCTGGAGAACATTCATCCTTTGGTTTTGTTTGTTTTGGTTTTTTTTTTTTTTCAAATGCTCCCTTCATTTAGTAGAATGAACATTTTAAAAATCCAATTCCTAGATAAGTATTTGACTCCCTCTGGACTTTTTCCTTAAAAGATGCTAAAAATAGCTTCTTGGGGCTTTTCAAGTTAATTCCAAAGTTTGGAACTGGAGCAAGAGCCTTGAAAAATCAATCCCGGGAAGGAAATGGGTTCCACAGGGAGTTCAGTTTTTCTCACTTGCGATAGCGGGCCACGCATCCTGCCTGCTGCAGCTGAGGAAGACGCTGGTGCTTACCGTGGCAGAAGGATGATAGATTTGTACGGAGCCCGGAGGAAAGGCCAGGTCACAGGCCCAGGCGGACGGACGTCAGCGCCCAGCAGGGACAAAGGGAGCATGGGGCAGCACCCCTTGCTGGCGTCTGTCATCACATGTTGCCTGGAATGATTTGTTTTAGTCTGTGAGATGGGGGAGAAGGGAGAGCCGGCTGAGGTAATTTTAGCATCTTCTTCGTGATGGACACATTCGCTTTATTTTTCTTGGAGAAACGTCCCAGGATACGCTCCTAACAAAAACATACAAAGACGCAACATTTGAAAGATTGCTTCCCCAGCTGGGTTGCCCTGGGAGGTGGCTGATTCTGCTGTCATGCAGGACAACTGCCGCTGGTGGGAAGACCACCGGATGGGCAGTGGAGGTCCTGGGTTCGAATCCCAGTTCTTTCTGCCTAGGTGATCTCGGGCACATCCCTTCCCTCTGTTTAGCCCTCAGCGACTGGAATGAGTGACCTCTCATGCCTCTTCCAGCTCCAAATCTGGGCTCTCAGAAGTGCCGATTTACCCCCAAAGTTTAGTTCAGCTCGTCGTTGAAGTTTCAAGGGGGATGTTTTTGCAGTTAAGTTTGATAAAATCTAATCCTTTTGTATCCCCCACGGTGGATCGTGGTAGGCATTTAATGAATGTTTGATGACTGACTAAGGCGCGCAGATTTTTAGAGCTGGAAGCGATCCTCTATACCGTCTAGTTGATTTCTCTCCCCCATTTTGCAGATGAGAAAATTGAGACCGAGAGATGTTGGGTGACACGTCCAAGGTCACAAAGACAGTAGGTAAAAGAATGGAGATTTGAGCCCAGGTCCTCAGACTCCACATCCGGCATTCATGGAGGCCTAGATTTAGAACTGGAAAGGATCTCAGAGGCTAACCCTCCTCATTTTATAGAAGATATTCGAGGTCATGCACCCGAGATGAGATCTGAGCGTGCGTCCTCTGATCCCGGAGCCCACTTTCCACTGTATCAGTCCCTCTGGGACTTGTTTTCCTCTCCTGTAAAATGAGGGAGAGTCAGTCCAACCCTGCTTTGGCCGTAGCACTTGTCCCTGGGGTCCCTGGAGACATCGTCTGTTTGCAGGAGAGACGTCTCATCTTTAAAAACAAAGCAGTAATCATGTAAGACTTCAGGGTGTTGCCGGCAGACGGCCGGTCGGGCCGAGCAGCGCGGGCCCGGGCCCGGCCCTGCGGAAGGACGCCCTCAGCCTCTGCCTTGTCTTTCCAGGTGGCCTTGCCCAGTATTAACAAGCTGTCGATGCAGGCCGTGCTGGATTACCTGTACACCAAGCAGCTGTCGTCCTGCCTGGACCTGGACACGCTTGAATTAATTGCCTTGGCAAACAGATTCTGCCTGCCGCACTTGGTTGCTCTGGCAGGTAAGCTTTCTGCCTCCCCTGGGCGGGGCAGGGTGGGGCATCTAGAGTAGCCCTACTCTAGCAGTCTTGACGTGTGATGTATACTCTTCCTTTCTCCCTTTTTATGGTCTTAACATTTTATAATCATTTTCCCTGTGACCTTTCTCTTATTAAAAAAAAAAAGACGAGGAACACACAGCTTATGTGACATTGTACACCCACAGCCCCACCACACACACACACACACCGGGGAAAGGAGGGAACATTCATCCTTTTTTTAAGCTCCCTTCATTCAGTAGAATGCACATTTTCAAAAATTCAGTTCCTAGATAAGTATTTGACTCCCTCTCGGCTTTTCCCCTAAAGGGTGCTATAGTAGGGACTGAAATAATTGTGAACGCACATAATCCTGGAATGTCCAGGCCGGGAACACCCTTTCCTCAGCCGCCCAGAGCTGTCCCTTCTGATATCCCCAGGGTATAACAGGATCCTTCTGGGCCTGGAAGATTGTCCTAGAGGTGGCCTTGGGGTCTCAAAGGCCACTCCTCAGTCTGATGGAGCCCAGGCCCCACCGAGGACCCGGTTTCTCGTGAAGATGAAGGCAAGTTTATTATCAAGTTTGCCCCAGAGGAATGAATTGTTCAGCCACATCAGCCCCCCAAAACCAGATCATCTAACAGGTTAAAGAGAGTCTGAGAGGTCCGTGAGTGGAACAGAGTGGTACAAAATGTAGATGGAATGTGGGCTGGATTCCTTATGGGGTCATAGAGTGTGAGTTAGAGTATTTATGGGGTCATGGAATGGGGTCACAGAACGTGGGTTGAATTGCTTCTGAGATTATGGAATGTGGGTTGGATTGTTGATGGAGGCATGTATGTGGAGGGAAATGCAATTCAACAAATCTTGATTGCACACCTACTATTTATCAGGCACTATGCCAGGTATTGGGGCAGCCAAGTGGCACAGTGGGTGAGGCGCTGGGGCCTGAAAGACTTGTCTTCCTGAGTTCAAATCTGACCTTAGACACTTACTAGTTGTGTGATCCTGGACAAGTCACTTTAACCCTGTTTGCCTCAGTTTCCATTTCTGTAAAATGAGTTGGAGAGAAGGAAATGGCAAACCACTCCAGTATCTTTGCCAAGAAAACCCCAAATGGGATCACAAAGAGTCAGACACGACTGAAAAATGACTGAACAACAATAATAGCAGAATGCCAGGTACTAGGTATACAAATCAATCATTCAATCAACAAGCATATATTAAATGCCTACTGTGTGCTGGACACTGTTTTAGGTCCCAGGCATGTGAAATAGTCAGTCAAGAAGCATTTAGTAAATGCCTGTTGTATGTCAGGTACTAACCTTGCAAAATAATCCAGAAGCATTTATTAAGTACCTACTGTTTGCCAAGTACTTGCTTGATACTGAAGATACAAATCCAAAAATAAACATAGTATCTGTTCTCATGGACCTTGAACAACAATTAAACAGAGCCCCTGCCCTGAAGTAAATAGGAGGTAATTTGATGATGAGTAAGAAAGCATTACATCATCAAATTGAGTAAACATACCTGTTATTACGTCCCTATTGTGTGCATATCTCTACCATAGATTCTGAAGGGAAATTAGATGAGGCCCCTGCCCTCCTGAAACTTATAACAAGTAAGGGTAACTTTTTTTTTTTTTGACCAGCCCTGTGATTCTATTGGTATAGAGAATTCTCCAGGAGTAAATTCCCTCCGCCAGTGCAGATCACCACCTCCTGCTGTGCAGGAGCACCAAGAATTGAAGTGACGTGGCCAGGGTCACACAGCCAGCGTGTCAGAGGTGGGCCCTGAACCCAGGACTCCTGCCTCTTTGCCAGAGCTCTGTGCATTAAGCCACGCTGCCTCTCCCAAGATACTCTAAAGCCCAGTACTACGTAAGTGTTTAGAGAGTTGTAAAATGACGTGTGAAAGGGAAGGTCATTCCAGCGGGGGGATGCATCACCAGTAAGTCTTCACCAAGGAAATGAGCCCTGAGTGGGGTTTCAGAGGATGAGCAAGTTGGGAGCTCAGAGGCTGTCTAGCCCAACTCTCTCATTTTACGGATGAAGAAAGTGAGGCTCAGAGAATTCAAGACTAGCCCCAAGTGATGTCAGAGGTAGGACCAGAACTACTGTTCTTGTCACTGTACTTGCTGCTTCCAGTCGAGAGCCACTGGAGGTAATTCTGCTGGAGTAGTCTAAGAAGATCTGTGCATAAGAATGAGGCCGCTGCAGCATGAAGGATGGATGGAGGGGGAGATCTGCAGAGGAAAGAGAGAGTTTTGCAGTAGCCTTGGTTAAGGGGCAGAGAGAGAGGGAATCAGTAAGACCTGGCAACTGATTAGATGTAGGAGGGGAGGCAGAAAGGTGCCAATATCCACAACTATCACAGAAGAAAAAAGGCTTAAACCTAGCCCCAAATGACCACCCATCCCAGCCTTCCAGCCGCGACCGCGGTATGCCATGAGAATGACAAAATCTTGCGCACATTAGGTGCTAGATAAATGTTTATGAAATGAAACTGGCTTGGTTCAGACGCAGCACTGAAGGAAAACTTGTTCCCAGGGAACCAGCTGTAAGCAGAATGGATGAAATGTTTGCCAAAACACGCTAAGTAGCCAGATCATAAAGTAAGCGAAATGAAGAGGTCACCAGGAGTCTACCGCCTCCCTCCCAGGCGCACTCCCCAGACTCTGCTGTGGATTCACCCTCCTTGTATCTGTGTTGTCCATAAGGGGCCGTAAATGCCTTCATCTCTTTCAGCAATGTAAGTTCAGTGAATGTTTGCCTAGTCTCAAGAGAAAAAAGCCTGATCATTTGGAAGAGAAGAGACGGGAATACCTGGATAGAGGGAAATTCACTCCCCATGTAAGAGGTGGAAATTCAGAACCAGAAAAGTTCATGCTTTAAGGCATAGGTTCTTAACCTTCTCGTGTCCTGGGCCCCTCTGACCATCTGGGGCCTCGGATGGAGTGAGCCTCTTCTCACAATTGGGCTTCTAAATGCACACAGCAAAGTAACGAGGATTACAAAAGAGGTGTTGAAATGCAATCATTTCCAAAAAATTGTTTTTAAGTTCCCCAAGTTAAGAATCCTAGATTTAAAGAGATGGAAGGAGATGAGATATTCCAAGCCAAAGTGGGGCCAAAGACTGGGATTGAGACAAAATTCCAGTTTTTTAATTGCTCGGCAACAAAATGGAAATTCTGCTCCTGAATGGTCCCGGGGCACATTCATTTAGCCCCTCAGTTATCTCTTCCTGGTGACTGAAGGTCTCACTGAGCTTTATGGAACAAGAGGCTTTGTATTTGGTTGATTCATTTTTCCAGCCTTTAGGACAGGTATAGGAGGCCCTACACTTCAACTCATTACCTCTCCCTCCTGAAAAACACCCTCCTTTCCTTCGAGGGCCCCTCCATTCTTCCTTTTTGCCACCAAAGAGTCATCTTTGTATCTTTGCTCATCTCTACCCCCTCCAAATCCACTAAGTTTTAAAATTCATTGTAACCAATCTGTTTGGGGCCCTCATCACCTCTTGCTGGGACTACTCAAGTAGCTTCCTGATTGAGCTCCAGTCTCTCTCCTCTCCACACAGATGGCAGATTGATCTTTCTAAAGTACTTGTTACCTCTGCGCCCAAGAAGCTTCACTGGATTCTCATTGCCTTTTGGGTAAAAGATAAACTCCTGAATTTGACATTAGAAGTCCTTTACAATCTGGCATCCTTACTATTTTTTCTACGTCAATTAAACAGTATTCCTCCTCAGTACTTTGTGCCTCAGCTAACCTGGCCAACTTGTTCACCATATGTGACTTTCCATCTCCCACCTCCTTTCCTTTGCTCAGGCTGTGCCCCATGTCGAGAATGCTCTGCCTCTTCACCTCTGCCTCTGGGTACCCCTAGACCCCTTTAAACTAAGTTCAGGTGCTTAATCCTTTAAGATGCCTTTCCTGATCCCCTAAGTTGATCATACCCTGCCCAATCATGGTTGATTTATTTTGTATTAACTCCTGTGTATTACTTGTGGCCACCTTGTAATCCCCTGGTATAATGCAAATTTCTTTCGTGTCTTACTTTTGTGCTTGAATTTCCAGCACCTGACAAATAGGGTACCCTTAGAAAGTTCTTCTCGAGGAGGAATATTTAGGTGATGTAAAAACAAAAGATAAAAAAAACACAAGTAAATGTTTTTAATTGATTTTATATATACACATATAATCGATTAAAAACATTTACTTGTTTTTATTGATCTTTTGTTTATGTGCATGTATGTGTATGTGTATATATATGTATGTATACACACACACACACACACACATATCAGGTGCTGGACTTGGAGTCAGCAAGATCTGAATTCAAATCTACCTCTTATACTTACTAACTCTGTGACGCTGAGCAAGCAAAGTTACACTTTCTTGGCCTCCATTTCCTTACCTGTAAAATGAGGAGACTGGACCCTTTCAGCCTGAAATTTATGAGCCTGTGATCCTATGCCTCAATGTCCATCATGGACCTTAGAACTCTCTAAGATCCTTAAGTTGAAGACGCCAATCTATGTTAGTAGATGAAATTCCTCCCAGGGAGCTGCCCATGCTGAAGCCACAAGTCCAGTGGGGGAGGGGGAACAACATGGTCAACTTGTCTGGTGCCAGGAATGGAGAAAGAAGCTTGAGTCGGCAGCAGACTGCTGGAAAGCGTGAAGGGTCCTCCAGCTGTTGGCTGTCGCCCAGATGTGAGAACCAGCATATTCTCACGTGTCATTGCTGCTGCCCAGAAGAGGCCCAAGAGCCTCAGCTGAGGTGGGTCATGGGCAAGCCACTGGATGTGGAGTTGGCAAAGCCAAGTTTGACTCTTCACTTTAGTGCTCCGGCTGGACGACTGTCAATAAGCCCCTTTGCCTTTCCGAGACGCGGTTTCCTCACCTGGAACGTCTGCCTCACAGCACAGCTATCAGTCAAATGTTTTAGGTGCTGAGGATACAATAACAATCACAACTATACAAGCCCTGCCCTCAAGGAGCTTAGGTTCTATTGAAAGAAAAAAAAATACTGTGCACAGATAGTAATAATGATATTTATATAGCACCTGCTACATGCCAGGCACTGTACTAAGCGCTTTTCAATAACAATCTTATTTGATCCTTACAACCACCCCAGGAGGTGGGTACCATTAGGATTCCCATTCTATTTATTATTTATTTTTGCTTTGTGAACTTTTGTTTTATTTCCAAACTCTCTCCCTCCCTCCACCTATAAAGAAGACAAGAAATATGTTACCTGTTCGTTATACATATGAAATATGATCCCTATTTTACAGTTGAGGAAACTGAGGCAGACGGGTTAAGTGACTTGCCCAGGGTCACCCAGCTCGTAGGTGGATTCTCACTGGTCCAGCACTGTGTCTAATGCGCCACCTAGAGTCCAAATGTGTAATGTGCTTTGCAAACCTTGGAAGTTCTCCAGAGACATTGGTGGTTGAGAGCTGTGAATAGCACTCACCTGTGCCCGCCTCTTCTTTCTCCCTCAGAGCAGCACGCGGTGCAGGAGCTGACCAAAGCGGCCATGAGCGGGGTCGGCATCGACGGGGAAGTGCTGTCCTACTTGGAGCTGGCCCAGGTTTGTCACCGTTGGCTTTTTACCTTTCCCACACCCTCCTGCAGTGGTCATAATGCTCTTCCAACATCCCACCCTGCATCTGACCAGATAAAGGTATCACCACTTGGTCCCAGAGGGTGGCACCCTGCGTCTGCAGCACACATCTGAGCTGTGTGACCCAGGGCAAGTCACTTCACTGTTTGCCTCAGTTTCCTCCTCTGTAAAATGATCTGGAGAAGGAAATGGCTAATCACTCCAATATCTTTGCGAAGAGAGCTTCAAATGGGGTCACAAAGAGTCGGAAACGATGGGACACCACCACCTGAGGGGGATTTGAACTCCAGTCTTTCTGACACCAGGTCATGCCACTGGGCCTCCAAACTGCATGTACCCTACAAGCCTTCACCACAAAAGTACAGGGCTAAAGCACATGCATTCTGGCTCTATTGTCCAGTTTGAAGTTTGTTTACTGACAGAAATCCCAGCTGTCTAAAATAGGGAAGGTGTGGATTGAAAGGATGGGGCAATCTTAGGCTTTAGAACTAGGAAACACCTTCCACATGCTCTCACCCAACCCCCTCGGATCATGGATGAAGAAAGGCGGGGATGGGGTAGGGAAGGAAGTACTTTTTCCCTGGGTCATGCAGGTAGTAAGCAGCAAAGTCAGAATTCAAACACAGATCCTCCAACCTCAACTCCAGGCCCCTTTGTCCCACATGATTATGATTCTCTTTGATAATTAATCCAGTTTCTGGCTGCTTACCCCTTTTGGGCTGCTTGCTGGGCCATTTCTAGGGAGAGAAAAAGATCCTAGACCCCACCTTCCCAAATTCTTGCTCCCATGCCATCAACACCTCCCTAAATTGTTATGTATTTGCCGGATAAGAAGAAAAAGGTATGGACCTTGGAGTGATTGATCCAATTTGTCATCCCTCAGCCAGGTTTGGTCATGAAATCTTTGTTAAGAAAAGCATACATTAAAAAAAAGGTTAAAGTCAAGTAATTGAAGGAACATAATGCTGTGTTTAAAGCAGAAAAGGGGGAAAATCATAACTTGAAAAAAATCTCAATTTTAGAGGCAGCTGGCAGAAAGTGTAAACCTGAGGTTAGAACTTAAAATGCGAATGGATGAAGTCAATTCAATAAAAAAGTAAAAGAACGCATAAGAAAACAAAAGAAAAGCTCCATTTTCTGAAACAAATCAGTGTCGTACGGGCTTTTCCCCATACACCCATTTATTCAGTAACCTTTTGCTGAGAATGTATTGTGTTCTGGGTACTTACACAGAAACCAAAGCTGCCCTCAGGAAGCTTACATTCTCACACCCCATCAGCTTGGGACCTCGAACATCCCATTGCTGGGGCTTCCTGGAACTTCTTAACGATGACTTTAGTGAGTGCCCCTATGTTAGAAACAGCCAGGAGATACAAAGCATAGAGCACTGGATTTGGAGTCAGGAAGACCTGGGTTCCGATCCTGCCTTGGACACTTCTTAGACTATGTGACTCTAAGCAAGTCACTTAACCTCTCTGTGCCTCAGTTTCTTCACCTGTAACATAGGGATAGTGATTTTTGCTGTTGAGTTGTTTCAGTCATGTCTGACTCTCTGTGACCCCATTTTGGGTTTTCTTGGCAGAGACACTGGAGTGGTTTGACATTTCCTTCTCCAGCTCATTTTACAGAGGAGGAAACTGAGGCAAACAGAGCGAAGTGGCTTTCCCAGGGTCACACAACTAGTAAGTGTCTGAGGCCAGATTTGAACTCATGCAGATGACAGCAGTATTCTCCCAGTCATCCAAGTTTGTAACCTCATTGTCATCCTCAACGACGTCTCTCCAACTCACCTCACATTTCCAGTCTCTTACCAAGTCTTGTCATTTTTACTTCCCAACATCTCTCATATGGTCCCTTTTCTCCCTGCTCAGACAGCCACCACCTCTCTCCTGGACCATTGCTTATTGGTGTCCCTGCCTCAGTTCTCCCGCTTCTCCAATTTATCCTCCATTCAACTGCCAGGAGGATTTTCCTGTAGCGTCGGTCTGCCCGCGTCACCTCCCTCCCAACCGTTAACCTCCAAGGGTCCCCTATCACTTATCCCCGGGTCAAAGAGAAGGCCCCTCGCGGGGCATTTAAAACTCTTCACAATTTGCCCCTTTCTGACCTTTTCAGTCTTATATTTTACTCCCCCCCATACAGTCTGTCATCCAGCTACACTGCCCTCTCTGCTGCCCCTCTTAGAAGACATTTCATCCTCTCCTGACTCCATGCCTTTACAGTGCCTGTCCCCCATACCTGGAATGCTCTCCCTCCACCTCTGCCTCAGTTTCCCTGGCTTCCCTTTTTACAGGAGGTCTTTCCTGGTCCTCCCAGCTCCTAGAACCTTCCCCTTTCACATTACCATTCATCTGTTCTGTATGTAAATGAGGAGGAGGAGGATGGTGATTAATTCTATGTTCTCACTCCTGTTAAAAAGTGAGCTTCTTAAAAACAAGAGTCCATAGGGGCAGCTAGGTGGCGCAGTGGATAGAGCACCAACCCTGAAGTCAGGATGACCTGAGTTCAAATCTGGCCTCAGACCAAACACTTGACACTTACTAGCTGTGTGACCCTGGGCGAGTCACTTAACTCCAACTACCTTCAAAAACAAAACAAAACAAACAAAAGCAAAGGTCCACAAATTTGCCTTTCTTTGTATCTCTAGCATGTAGCCCATTGCGCTTAAAACATGCTTGTTGTCCAAATGGAATCTAAATCCCAAATACAAAAGAAGAAGTCTCTTTTTTTGGGGGGGGGCAATTGGGGTTAAGTAACTTGCCCAAGGTCACACAGCTAGTAAGTGTCAAGTGTTTGGTCTGAGGCCAGATTTGAACTCAGGTCCTCCTGACTTCAGGGCCGGTGCTGTATCCACTGCACCACCTAGCTGCCCCAGAAGTCTCTTTTTCTGGACCCTCAGTAACAATCCTCATGGTGCAGGGTATTAGGAAGAGAGGAGCCAAGTGGGACTCCTGGCTTTGTCAGTGACCTCCCTTCCTTTCTCTCTGGGCTTCAGCTCCTCCCCATCCCCCTCCCATCCCCAGAAAATGAGGGGGTTGGATTCACTGCTCTTCAAGGTCTGAGCCTATGATCTGGCCTTCTAGCCGCCCCCTCTGTGGTTTTGCCCAGTCTGTTTCCTGTACCTTCTCACCTCTGGGAACCCTCCACTCCCTGCAAGGCTCAGCTCAGGTGCTCCTTTGGACATGCGGGCCATTCCTGTTCCCCCAGCCTGACAGTGCTGCTCCCCCCCCCCAACACAGAGACTTGGTTTTTATATTTTTTAACTTGGTCCTCTAGTAGAGTGTAAGCTGTATGAGGGCAAGGATTGTATCCTCAGAGCTTAGCCCCTGACCTATAGTCATTGAAAGTCGATGCACCGAATGTTCCCCCAACAACAAAGCCTTTTCCCCACTTCCCCACTCACCCCTTCCTTCTTTGTGCCCAGACTTCAGGGCACTGAGTGACCTTTCTCCTCTCCTCCCCGCAGTTTCACAATGCCCATCAGTTGGCAGCGTGGTGCCTTCATTACATCTGCACCAACTACAACAGTGTTTGCGCCAAGTTTCGCAAGGAAATCAAAGCAAAATCTCCAGGTGAGAGAAGCAATTGTCCTAGAGACCCCAGACTCCTTGATGGTGCCCCTGGTTCTTGGTGTCCTTGGAAAGGCAGCAGAGAAAATAGAGGAAGATTGCTGCGGGGCTAGTTGAGAACTCTCAGAATCAAGATGCCCTTCTTTCCTCACTCCTTTTTTCCTCCCTCCCTTCCCATTTTCCTCCCCTCCTCTCTCCTGGAAGGGGACATCACATTGGCTAGAAATAGTATCTTCCTGGGAGCATACGTCATAACTTTATATGTACTTTTTCAAGCTAATCGACGCACGCCAAGGTGCAGGAGCTTCATTATTCAGTCTCCAGAAGCCGTGGGTGCTTTTCTAAGAGATAGAGTCATACTGAATAGTTTGATGGCGTCCCGTGACAAGTGCATGGTGGGCATAGAGTCATCAATCTCTGTCGGTCCACAAGTGAGGAGCCACTCACTGCTCTAGAATCAGTCTGCCTTTCTCTGGAATCACAGAATAACATACACTTAGGTTGTAACCCTCTAGACTTGCAGCCCAGATTTTTTTTTTATATGTTTGTGGCCTGGTGCATTTTCTAGACTCGGAACATGGCCCTTTGTCCAGACTCAGGGTTTGGCCCTTTGTTCTTCTGCTTACTGCCCAGTGCTTCTAGAGACTCTCAAATTTTCTTTCTAGACCCAAAGCCTGGCATCTTTTCTTGCCTCACAACAAAACACTTTTTCTAGACTCACTACACAATAGTTTTTTCTAAATTTGCATCCTGGCACTTTTTACTCCTCTCAAGGCCTCATATTTTTAATTGGCTCTTGGCCCTGTGCTATTTTGAGTCTCACCACCTAATGCTTTTACTAGACTCATCATCCAATTTTTTCCCCTCTGGTCTCATACCTAACACAAGACTTTCTCGAAACTTGTGACTTAGTGTTTTGTTTTGTTTTTTTCCTAGACTTGCAGGTGGGCACTTTTTCTGGGATCACAGCCTGGCAGTTTTCCTAGGCTCTCTGCATAGCACTCTTTCTAGATTAACAACTGATATTTTTAGCTTTCGGGTCCAGCACTTTTTCTAGACTCAACCTAATGCTTTTTTCAAGACTCATAACCCTGATCCCAATTCCAAGTCTAATCCTTTTTCTTGACTCGTGGCCTAATATTTTTTTAAAAACCTCAGTCCAGTTCTTTTCCAGGCTTTCAGCCTGAAGATTTTCCTAGAGTTGCTGTCCAAGTCTCTTTCTAGACTTGACATTATTTCTAGACTCACAGTCCTAGCATTTGTTTCTAGCATCATGACCTAGCAATTAGTCTAAAAGCATAACCCAAGACTTCTTCTAGGCTCTTGGCTGGATGCTACTTTTTTCTAGACTCACACTCAAGAACTCTTTTTCTAGCCCCATAATCTAACACTCTTTCTAGACTAATGTTTTTTCAAGGTTCATGCCTTATCAGCTAGCTCTCACCTTGCCTAGGCTCCTGCCGTAATACTCTTTCTAGACTTACTCACCCAACCCTTTGTCTGAGCTCTAGACTCTCTTTCTGGACTCATGACCCGCTTTTTTTCTAGACCTCCTTTCTTGCGGTTCGTCCAGCTCACAGTCTTAACTCTCCTCATTGTCTCATTCTCTGTCCACCAGACAATCAGGAATACTTTGAGAGACACCGCTGGCCACCTGTTTGGTATTTGAAGGAAGAAGACCATTACCAGCGTGTGAAGAAAGAAAGAGAGAAGGAAGAGCTCGCACTGAATAAGCACCACTCCAGACGGAAATGGTGCTTCTGGCACTCGGCTGCCACGGTCGCCTGAGCGAGCAAGGAGAGAACCCCAGGAAAGACCCACCCATCCCCCCAACAACAGCAACAACCACAACAATACTGTAAAATTAGTCGTCGTCGTAGAGATGAGATGAAGGTCAGGGTTTCAGGCGCTGTTTGGACTCTCCATCTGTGCGTTTACCTTCCAGAAATAACAAAGCACAATCTCCCTAGAAATGAGCCTGGATGACCGACGCTGTTGCTTAAACTGCATTCCTTCGACTAATATGTATATTTTTGGTTAGGGAGCGTGATAAACTTAGTCCATTATGACAATTTCTTTTTATACAGAAAATCCAGCATTCACATTTCAAATTCCAAATTGGAAAAAAAAATATTTTTCTATGGTCTTGTGAATTTTGTTGAGACTAAAATACTATGTATTGCTTAATTTTACAGGCCACAAATTAACCACGAGGAGCCAGCCCCATGATTAAGTTGTAACTGTTGGCCCACAGATGGACATGAGCACTGAGGCATCATTACATAATGAGACAGTTATTCCCACAGTTGGAAGGAAAGTGTTAGAATGAAATTCCCCAAACTGTGAGTTAGGGAGTATTTAATCTTTGTCCTTCTAAGCAACATTGGTATAATTAACAAGTCAACTCCAGGAGCGGGTATTTACAGTATTTGCTGTGTAAGTGGTAGTAATTATATGATTATGTGTGCCATGTAAAATATAGTGATATCAAATATTCTGTTGTTGAAAGTGTCTAGGTTGAAGAGGATAATCTTCATAATCATTAGAAGGGCTTATTAAATCCCAGCATTATCCAGGGCCAACTCACTGATGGACCTGAATACAAAGAAAGAGAATTATGCTGTTAGTTTTTGGGTGGTTGTCATGGCAGTTGGGGTGGGGTATTCCTTGATATTTGCAGGGTCTCTGCATGTGTACTTTCTCTGTTGACTGGAATCAGACGTTGTTGACAGGGTGCGTTCCAGGCCCTTGGCTCATCCATTCAGCGTGCTCACATCTCGCCCCCCTGAGCTGGGTTGCTCAGCACTGCCCTTCCCCATGGATTCCCTCATGGAATTCAGTTCCTCTCTTTCATTCTTACCAAGGAAAATTCGTTCAGCTGCATCTTAAGAGTCAGGAAGCCTGGCATCTCTTCTAAAGGCTGAAGACACCTGGGAAAGGGGGCATCTTATTGGAGACTAGGAGAGCTGAAGACTCACTGAGAACTCTACGGGTTTGGAAGCAAGTCCTTCATGAGTTAGGCATGGCTGTTTTGCCAGTCTGAGCTGGAACAGAGGGTCAGGAACTTGGAAGCTTTTTAGCTGAGTAGTCTCCCATTGACATCTCCATAACAGAAATGACCAGCCCATATGAAACAGAATTCCAAGGACTCAGCTGCATACCCACAATGGTCCTGGGTGTGGCGGGGTCAGGGTTGGTTCCCATTGTCGCTTGGTATGCTAACATGAAAGGACTCTTTTTTTTTTCATCTTAGGGTTATAAGAAGAGGCAGTTGAACACAAACCCCAGTGCTGCAGATCAGGGAAGAATTTCCAGATGACAGCCATATGCATTTTTAAAATATATGTATTCAGGTTAGAGATGGATATTTATTCCTGGCTGTAGCAGCACCCCAGGGCAATGGAAACTACTTAGCATTGGATGACATCAGGGACCTAAGCTTATAGGAGAGACTCCTTGAAAGAAAATCAGAAGAGTATTTGGTACCCCCCCCCCAACCCTGGCAGTTTGCACCATCCCTTGATAAAGGAGATCTATAGAAAGAGAATGATACCGGTATAGTAGCTAATACATTATTGCTTCGGAGATGGGGTAGGCAAGAGGGGAATAAGATTGGGAGGGTAAAAGCCAAGATGAGTAAAAAATTAACATCTCTTCTATCATAGCAGTTGGGTTTTTAACAAAAATTGCTAGTCAGTTTTGTATAATCAAAGCTCTTGTTTGAGTGTAATCTTGCCAAAACAAAACAAAAAAACCAACCATGGATGGATCTTGGTGGCCCTGGGGTATATGCAATAATCTCCACTTGACTTTGTTCTCAGCTGCTGAAACCAAGTGGCTGGTTCATTTGGTTAATGGTGGCTATGGCCTTTACCCTTGGTGGTTTCATTTTCTGTTTTTTATTTCACAGAAAGCCAATAAAATTGTTTAGCTATAAAATAATGACTCCAACTATTTTGTTTGCCAAGGAGGATCCGTATCTTGTGCCTATAAGGACAATAGCAGGGTTGTAACAGTTGTAAAAGGTGACTCTGGATAAAGGGGACTGTGGCATGCATGAAGTCCCATCTCCCTTCCAAGTGAGGGCCTTCTAAGAGCAGTCCTTGGGATGGGATGCTGGCTCATGACTGGTTGTCAACTCTCTGCAGAAGAGTTACATAGCATTTGTGGTCATCTCAGTAACGTCATCAAAGACGCAGAGAAGGAGGATACCTCTGAGGCCCAGTCTAAAAGGTCTTGTTTGCACAGGGAGTCAGTGGCAAAGGCAGACTGTAAACTTCAAATACATTGCAGAATCCAGAAGACCTGAGTTCAAATCCTGCCTCAGATACTTATAGCTCTGAACCTCCCTTAGCCTCAGTTTCCACATCTATAAAGTGAGGGAGTTGGAAATGATGACCTCTGAGGTCACCTTTGGCTCTCCAAATCTACGATCCTATGAAAGGGGTTTTTGATCCAGGCAATCAACATGAATTTGTTAAGGGCAAGGAATAGAAAGACCAAAATGATATAGTGCCTGCCCTAAAGGCGCTTACATTCCATACAAAGAAACAACATCCACAGAAAGCTCCACCCGGCAATGGCATGGAATGATGTTGGATAGGTGCCGTGAAGACAATCCTTCACTCCAGGAATGAGGCCAATCCTTCCCCCCTCCCCAATTTCTTGGTCTGAGGGGCTTGGATTAGACACTCTCAAATGCCTTGGAGGTCTAGAAGCTGTGATCCTGAGGTTGAGGGATTAGGGAATGCCTTTTGGAATCCATTCCTTCAATGAACAATTATTGAGGGTTTGCTGCCCCCTGAGGATACAGATACAGAATGAACAGAAACAAAAAGAGCACTTGCCTTCAGGGAGCTTCTATTCTATCATACACACATAAGCAGATAGAAAAAACATAAAACGTAGTCTGGGGGCCTGGGCAGAGTCCTAGAAAATCAAGGGGATCGTTTCAAAGTAGTTTGTTGTGAAAGGAGCTTAGGATTTAGGCTAAGGGTTACATGAGTCAGTCAATAGGCATTTATTATGTGCCTACTATGTACTAGACCAGGTGCTTAGTGCTGTATGGGGTCCTAACCCTAATTCTATATGTAATCCATTGGACCCCTGAGTAAAGTCAGAGAAATACCTGAGTTCAAATCCAGCCACAGACACCTTCTGCAAGAGGTCTTGCCTGTTCCCCCAGACTGTAAATTGCTGCCCCACATTCCTCAAATTTCTTTCTGCATTTTTTGGGGGGAGGGCAGCTATGTGGTGCAGTGGATGGAATGCCAGGCCTGGAGTCAGGAGGTCCTGAGTTCAAATCTAGCCTCAGATACTTACTAGCTGTGTGACCCTGGGAAAGTCACTTTACCCTGTTTGCCTTGGTTTCTTCATCTGCAAAGTGAGCTGGAGAAGGAAATGGCAAACCACTCTAGTATCTTTGCCAAGAAAACCCCAAATGGGGTCACAAAGAGTCAGACGCAACTAAAACAAGTGAACAATGATATCAACTTTTTTTTTCTTATTTCCTGGTCTGTCCATATTGCTCCCTTTCTTGCCCTCCAGGGCAAGGGCAGTTTGACTTTCATCCCTCTGTCCCCCTTACCTAGTACCTGGAGCATACAACGTATATAATGAGTGCTTGTAATTGAAGCAAACCCCACATCCTGCCGGTATCACCATCACTTGAGTATACTTGGGGATGTATCCCTATGAATATTGCAACATAAACTGGATACCCTCCACATACACCCAAGCACCAAGCAACAATGATTTCAATTTGGTTTGGGGTTGGCTTTTCTTTTCCTTCAGAGGAATTTAACACTGCTAAAAATGTGATTCAGAGCTATGGAGTTGGCCTCATTTTCAGCATCTATGTGCGTGTGTTTGAGTACTAACAAAGCTTAAAAAAAACCCTCCCCAGCAGCTCGTGGCCAGTGCACCACAGGAACTGACTGAAGTAAGCCCTCTCAACCTCCCGTGTATTTTTTTGCTCCAAAATGCTCGTTGATGAAATCGTTTCATAATTCAATAATTTCATTTCTTTGGGGGCATACTGGGCTCTGCTTTTGTACTTTTTCCAATAGAATTCTGGTGTCCTGTGCCACCCAAAATGTTTGGGCTTGGAAAGAAATCTTGAAGTGTAACCATGGGACCAGCCTCCCTCCCCAAGAACATTGCTGGAGGAAAGGGAAAAAATGCTTTTCCCTTGAGCTGACTTTTAAAAGCACACGATGTCCCCAGAAACTGTGCCTGTCTTTGCTTCAGGCTATTTAGGCTCCTAGTCTTTTAGAACAGGTCCAATGAGGGTGGTGCATCAAAGGCGTATTTACAGGTGACTGTCTACAAAATATGGAAATGATGGAAATGATTCAGAAATGGATGACACTCAAGAGAATGCCAAGCAAGGCTGTGGCTCCCCCAAACACAGAGAGGAAGCAGCCTAGGGTGTGGTGAAAGAGGAGGGGGGTGGGCAGCAACATGCCAGCCCTGGCTCTAGCTGGCTTCTGAGGCTTTGTTTGTGCACTTTACACACCTTATCCCATTTGAGCCATCAGTCCATAAGCATTTATTCATTTATTATTTAGCATTGCAACAGCCCAATGAGGGGAGAGCGTCACTGGTAGTATTAGCCCCATTTTACAAATGAAGAAACTGAGACTCAGAGAATGAATGAAAAAGATTTAAGTGCAAAGCACTGGGGGTACAAATTCAAAATCAAGACAGCCCCTGCTGTCAATGGACTCATGTCCTAATAGAGGAAGATAACCCAAGGTCACATAGCTAAACAATAGCAGAGAGTATAGAAGATATGGCAAATGTCCACAGTGGATAGAATGCTGGACATGCAGTCAAGAATGGCTGGAGAATCCTGCCTCCGACACTTAGAACACTGTGACCCCAGGCAAGTTAATTAACTTCTCTGGACCTCAGTTTCCTCATCTGTAAAAGGGAGGGGTTGGATTCATCGTCCTCTAATGTCCATTCACCTCCAAACCTCTGATCCTATGAATTTTTTCCAAACATCTTCACACCCTTATCATTTAACCACTTAACTCTTACTCCCATAGTCAAGTCCACAAGCATCCATTGAGCTACATTCCAGGCACTGTGCAAAGTACTTTAGTACAAGGAATTTGCGCCGAATTGATGAAAATATAAGTAGTAGTGTCCCTGTTTTTCTAAAGAGGAAACTGAGGCACACAAAGGTAGAGTTATTTGACCATGGACACAGAACTTATAAGAAGCAGATGTCATTTTTAGTCCAAGTTTTCCTCATATCAGGGACAGTGCTATTCAACAGAAATGCCTTGCTTCTATGGACCATAAGGCTTTGTCATATGGGCTCCCAGTAAAATCTCCAGGAGACACCGTAACATGGACCACCTTTTTAAGTGTCATTAATTTCAATTCAGCAAGCACCTACTATGTACTAGGCACTGTGCTAGGCTCTGGGCATACAAAAATAATAATGAAATAACCCCTAAACTCAAGGATCATTCTACTGGGGGAAACCACATGGACACAGATAAGGAAACATAAAATATATATGAGTTATTTGGGGCGGGGAGCAGGGCTTTGACAAAGGAAAGGAGGGAGTCGGGAAAGACCTTTTTATAATAGGTAGCAATTGGATCTTGAAGGGAGCTGGGAATTCCAACGGGCTAAAGGGGGGAGAGAGAGCATTCCAGTCATGGAGGACAGCCTGTGGAAAGATAGAATGTCCTTTATGGGATACCCCAAGTAGGTCAGTTTAGCTAGAAAGGCAGAGTGTTAGAAGGTACTTAGAAGTTGATTGAATGCTTCAGTTTCCTCTTCTTGGAGATAATAATTTCTGGAGCCTCCTGGGTCATGAGGTTGTTGTAGGTCTCAAATGATAGAATGTATGCCAAGCACTTTGTAAACCTTACAACGCTATTCAACCTTAAGACTGCACTAAGACTTTTGGGACATCCACATAAAGGCCAGTTATCCACTGACCAACAAGTATTTACTATGTCCCAGGAGCTGTCCTAGGTGCTAGAGATACAAATGCAAAGAATGAAACAATCTCTGTAATCAAGGAACTATTATTATAGCTGCATGTCCATAATATCTGACTACATAATTTCTGAGGTTCCTACTAGATTGTAAGCTCCATGAGGTCAAGGATTGCATCTTATTTAAAATCAGTATCCCAATCCCCAGAACCAAGTATAGTGCTCTATACATCAGTAGGTGCTTAGTAAGCATTGGGCGGATGGACAGACAGATGGATGAATGGATGGATGGATGGATGGATGGATGGATGGATGGATGGATGGATGGAGAAATGTGACTCTGAAATGGTCAGACCACACTAGCCCCAACCCCAGAATACTGTTGTCCTTCCACATTGTGTCTTAAAAAAAAAACCCTAAAGCTCTGGTCATCATAAAAGACATGACACCTAAGCATTCCACCTCCAAAGAGTTCTTCTGACAAAGGAGGCTGCTCTGAATCTAAGTATGTTCTCTCCTTGGAAGTAAAGGTATCATCAGTGGAATGTGGAATCAGAGGAGGAGATGAGTCGATC